CCAAAAGGCTGGGGGCACCTTTGCAAGGAGGAGAAGCATGAAGACGTCTTACCAAAAGCTGGGCTCCCAATCCTGACTGCCAGGGCAAAAGGCCCCATGCTGGAGTCGACGTGTCCAGGTTGGCCTCCCTCCCAAAAAAAGAAGGAAGCTCAAATCTCTCCAAATAGGGGGGTGCTCAAATGGCGAATGCGTGCGCCCCTCCGGCGGAGTTTGCTGACCTGAAAGAGGAGGAGAAGCATGAAGACGTCTTACCAAAAGCTGGGCTCCCAATCCTGACTGCCAGGGCAAAAGGCCCCATGCTGGAGTCGACGTGTCCAGGTTGGCCTCCCTCCCAAAAAAAGAAGGAAGCTCAAATCTCTCCAAATAGGGGGGTGCTCAAATGGCGAATGCGTGCGCCCCTCCGGCGGAGTTTGCTGACCTGAAAGGAGATGCGGGCACAGAGAGGGGCGGTTTGCTTGAAATGGACACGAAAAATGGGGCTTGAAACTAACCGAGGTGGTTCAGGAGGAGTTCAGCGCCCGGGGAGGGAAAGGAAGAAAGATGCAGATGGGAAAGCTTGTTGGGAGAGTTTGTTGCGCTTCGGGTTATTGTCGCGCCCAGAAGCCCTGCGTACGACTGCGACCCCCGTGTGCTGAACGCACACACCCCCACACGCGCTTCCTACAGCAGGATTCATCACATACGCGCACACTCTCCAAAGCAGGATTCATCCTGGCCTTTAAAAGCCAAGCCAAGCACTACCTGGTGCTTGGAGCACAAGCCTGGCAGTCCCCAGGTCTGGCTTCAGCATCTTGCTACTCACTGCTTCAGGTTCCCTATCAGGAGGAGGAGGACCACCGCTATCTCAAAGGGACGCTGTACCACTTAATTCAAGTAATTTCTTGCCCGTTGCTCCCACATTTTACCCCTCTGCCAGCCTCGGACGACAGTGCTACAGAAGTGCCAAGCATTATCAGCGACATATAAGAGTAAAGCAATCAGTTCCAGCTAAACGGAGAAACACTTAACATGAATGTCAACTGCTGCCAGTTGGCCTGTCTCCATTGATCCTGAGCACCTCACCATGCCTAAAAAGCTGGATCCCCCATAACTGAATTTTGCCCAAGTCAGGAAACACGCAAAATTGTGAATCTGTGAAAAACCAAGTTCTTAAAGGGTTTTGTTACCAATTATTTCAGGCACAGACTTTTTTTTTTTTTTTTTACAACTATACATACAGTTTCCATTTTCCCCCAGGTACTTAAAATACTTTCTAACCAAGAACCAGAAATCCTGATCCTGCCAAAACTATGCTTATCTTGACATGCTTTAAGTAGCCTTATTATGCCTGATGAAGGGTGGCTGTGCCCAAAACCTTGCTAAGAACTTTTTTCCAGCTACTCAGTTGGTCTAATAAAAGAGATCCCATCTGCTCATATAACCTGGCCTGCGCATGTCCTTAGACCAACACGGCCACAACCAACAACCCCCCTTATTAACTCACTACCTTTAAGCAGGTGCATAAACCTGTGTGGGATCAAGGCCTAAACCTCACCTCCCTGAGCTCCAGAAACATTATCAATCAGAATAGTTAGGTATTGGCTAACTTCCCAAGATCAAGTTTCTGATACGTTCGTTGGGCTTTATGTACAGCGCATCATTAACCTTTTCTTTTTTAGAAAGAAAGTATACATACATTGTTTTGCCTGTTCTCCCACTGATCTTTAGAGGCATTTTCGCCACAAGGGAAAATGGGTGACCCTGGTAGGAATAACTCCAGACTGCCTTTTGTGTGATACTAAATTCAAAGGGACCATCAGCAAAACAAAGGAAGTGACAACCCACTTCGAATGTACAAAGTTAAGAGGGGGGAGGTAGAGAAAAATAGATTATTTCCCCTCCCCTCCATCCCCCTAAGCCTCTCTCACATTTTAACTAGGCTCATAATAAACATACGGAAATCATCAAACAGAAACGTGATGCTTAAGAATATCTTACCCTTTTAATCTTCCTAGCCAAGGTGTGGGATTTTCAAGGGACATTTTCAAGATAAAACTCCTGGGGCCAATTCTTCTCCCAGGCTTAAGCAGCTCCAAGGAATATAATCACAACTGAGGAAAGAAGTTGGATTTATGGCTTTGAAAAGATCTCGCTCATGTTACCAGTAACATCCTAGAGAATTAAAAGTCACATTAATTTTAAAAATATAGTTTCTCATCTGTACAGCGTGTTTCCTTCCTGTACTTCACTCTGCTTGGGTGACTTGAGTGTACCGCTCAGGCTCGCTCGGTGAGAGCAGTCATTTTTACTCTCTGGTTTCCCACTGTTGTGCTTTGCTTTCTAACACCACCACGACTAGTATTTCAGCAATGATTCCCTGCCTTCCATGGAAGACCGACAGTCCTGCTTTTCGCTTCAAAGTGGTTGAAAAACTACAATGTCCGCTGGGTAAGGGGGGGGAAAAGAAAACCATGCCAAGGACAGGTAATTCCACGTGCGGCAGCATTTCGGCGATACTGCCCCATCAATGGGGGGAACCAGCAGAGGGGAACTAGCAGAGGGGAAAGCCCGCTAAAGCCAAAGATTTGCAGAAACGAAGGGCATCCCCTGCAGAGGCCCTCTGGTCCTGAACTGCCTTCCTGCTAGATGCTGCCTTAAGCTCCCTTAAGGGGCGAGGGCTCTGTTGTGTGCAAGGGCATGCTCGCTGTATAAGATAATGCTGAGTGGCAGCATCCCTCCAACACGGCGCTTGCTAGATTTCAGAGGCAAGCGGCAGTCAGGATGGGCTCACAGGCTGCTAAGCACAGCAGGCCAAGAGCCGGGCAGCCAGCCTGGCACCCTCCGAATTGGGCCCAGCTGCACAGGGGGCTTTGGGAACACTGCCTCTGAGAAGAGACCCTGCCCCACCACCCAGTCCAGCTCTTGCCCCTGCTTTATGGGCAATGAGACTGCTAGATCCTATTAACACTCGTCTTTGCCACACCAAAGCGCACTGGTCCAACTAGCGATCTAGGCATGGGAAGCATCGGGAAGAGCTGCCCGATGACTTGACGTGCCTCGTGGTAGACAGGGCACGGGAAACGGGTGCAAGTCTGCCCCTGGCTGCTGCAAGACCAGAGCGTGGTCGTCCCCCACACCCCAACCCCATGCCTCACCTTACCTCGTGGCGAAGCACTTTCAGAGCTGTAAAGAGAAGTTCAAACTAGAAGCGACCCTCCCTTTTCTGATCGAGAACTAGCAACAGGCAATTTTCAGGGCTACCGGGCAGCCACCCAGCTCCCTCCAGCAGGGTTCACCTCTGGGCTGGGACCAAGACAGCAGTGGTTAGTTGGGGCCAGGCTGTTTCCGGCCTCCAGCTGAGAAAGCACGGCCACGCTCAGCCAACTATTGAGCATCAAATATTCTTGCCTCCAAGGAGACGCTTGGCAAAAGCACCTCTGTCTCTCCATCTGCCGCCCTGCCAGCTCAGACTGAAGTGTGGGACCCATCGGTTGCAAAGCCAACGCTCTCCCAGTTCCCCTTTGCAGATGAGTAGTTTGGTGTAGTCTGAGGCTGCCCCACAGCAGAAAGACACTTTGCATCAACTCGTATTTACAACCTTTACGTTCACGGTCTGCCTCTTCACAGTGGGTTTATTCTCTACAGTTACCAGGCACAGCACAGGCATAACCGAGTGAAACTATGAGCTGTGCTATACAGGAGCACAGGCAAGAAGATCTAATGGTCTCTTCTGACCTTAAAACATATTTGTTGATGGGCCTATGCTTTTTTTATTATTATTATTTCCCCTTAAGGCCTCTTGTTCTTCTGCACTTTCTACAGATTTAATCCGGATCCAGATGTTCAGGGCCCCTAATCCCTATCTACACATATTTTTTGTATTATACGAGTTAAGATCTGACTTTTTTACCTGTATAGTAATGTCACTACAACCCCTAGCATGGAACAGTTGTATCGGTATAAAGCTGCCGAGTCCCAGAATGGCTTCACACTTCACCTATGGGGCGTATAAGTCCCTTCATATCTGTTTAACTGCAGTCGGCTCAAGCAAGACTCTTGCCTCAGCCACCCAGTGTCGCAGTGCAATACAAGCTAAGAAAATGTCAGGGTCGGGAACATAATGAGACAGACCCAGTGCAGCTAGAATAACACCGTGGGAGTGAATGGAGTTACTCTAGCTTTACCCCAGCAGAAGTGCTTTGTCCCAGAATCTGCTCTTGCCGTTTCCCAAATGTCCAAAGCCCGAAAGAGTGAGACACCGCAGCAGGGAAACCAGTGGAGAGGCAGGCGTAAGATGAAACGCCCGCCACCCCATTTTCCATTACACCTTCCAGGGAGCCAATTCAGCCCCGATGCAAATGGACTGCAAATGGAAAGGGCTGAATCCGGTCTCCAGGCCGGAGGTAGTGGTATTCGATTGCTCATGTCAGCCGACCTGCTGTGACACTTGCACCTATTTCCTGAGCAGCTCGCGCCCTGGATGTATAGGTTACAGCACTACCCTCCATCCTCTCCCGGCGGGCAGGTGTGCATACACATGGACATCAGCCAGGGTGGAATTTGGCCTGTAATGTGCTGAATTAATGTGTGTGCGTGGAGACCATTGCCCTCTACTGGACGTGCCGCCGAAAATGCGGCTTGTGCGGCCAGTGATGCAGTATCTCTATCAGCATAGCAAACAGAGGTGCTCCTTTGATCAGCTGGTAAAGTCCTCCGTATTTACAGCTAGTGGGCACATTCGGCTTAAATCTCACATTGGATATGCCATAAGCAGAGGACTGCCCTGGATGGTTGGAGTAGGTCTTTTGACAAGGGATGTGATAGAGCGAATGAACTCAAGGAGAAGGAAGGAGGAGCCAGATAAATCCAGCACCAAAAATTTGACTTCAAATCAGCATGCACGCATACATGTCACTAAACATGCACGCGGCTGAACGCGGTAGTGGTAAATGCAGCATGCCGTGGGAAAATGAATGCCACACACGGCAAAGGAAGGTAATAAGAATAGAAATTGAGTAGAGGAGGCAGGACAATATTGGAATAAAATGTGTCAAGGCAAACTAGCCCCACACCCCTGGGAAAAAGGAGGAATAGAGCCCTTCCCCACACTGTTAGAGCACAACAGGACACAGCGTAAGTCAGTATAGAGATGCATGATCCAAATTCAGTGCAATCAGCCTCTCTGCAGATTTCTCTTTCCC